CAAACACTCAGAGGCTGTTTCGGATCACTCAGTCACATAACTGCCACATCATCCTTGAGCTCGCAGCTTGACGTGTGCTCGGGCTTGATGGAGAGAGTATAAAAAGATGAGAGGCAGTCAGATAGAGGGCCATACGGCATTATGCTAATGTGTGCATGTTTAATACGATACCTGGGGAAAGGACGAGTGTGTCAGTTTGTACTTTCCTCACAGGGTTTGAGGAGACGGTTGATATTTCGAACGAAGCTTTATTCATGCACATCTCATTCAATCAGTCGAATCCAATCTGAGAAAAACGTCATCCTAACAGTTATACAAGGACAAGGATCCATCACACGGTTTTTCCTTTATGGTTAAGGTTTATTCCTGGCTATAAAACCCAACTAGTCTGCAGAATCATGCTGACCTGACTTCTAACTTTCTTATTTCCTCTAGTTCTGGCATGCTGCTGCAAATAACAGACATTGGCCACAGTATATTGTCCCAGAGCCTGTCGCACATGTTCACAAACCTACACGGACTCTACAACTGCCGTAGCTGTTTTCTATGTTTGTGCAGAGACACCTTTGAGGAACAATAAATTCAAATATGTGTGGTTTGAAGAAGTGTGTTCCCTCTTTAATTAAATAACTGAGAACTACATTTTATACCTCAGCCGCTCTTTATTTAATCTAATTTACTTTTTCCTGCAAATAACGTTTTTTTTTTTTTCCAAGTATAGATTATTTTTATGACAAAACTCAAGATTAAATATGGAGGTTCACACGGAGTGGCTCTCAAATCCGGGGGGGAAGTAGAAAGAGGTGAGCATGATCACAATTTGGCTGATGTAAATGGTTGTCTGAATTTGGGCAAAAAAAAGGGCCAACAGGGGATTAAATACATGTGTCAGTTACACCTGAAGGGTGGTTACTTTGTGCTTGAAATAAAAATAAAAACAGTGGCTCATTCGAGCCAACGTTGAGGAAACATAAGACAAAAAGTTTTAAGGGGATACAGTGTATTGATGTTAACTTCCCAATAACTGGCAGCTCAAATTCAGCGTCAAACTAAAAAAAATATTTAAAAAAGTGTCTCATTACTCAGGACATGACCACATACTTCGCATGTTGAATGATATTTGACCTCTAGAGGGCGCAATATATGTATATATGTCTATGGTTGTACCGAGTCAACCAAAAAAGGACCATTAAGTAACCCTTAAAATAGCCTTATTCTAAATCACCCTAACATCCACATTAAAGCTTTATTAGTCAAACATGCTAACAAAATGTTACTTTATATCATGGTAAATGTCTGTTGTTCATCATCTTTAATATATTTAATACTGAAATCACGTGTAACCACACAGATTTAATCAGGCACATTATCGGTCAATTTAGCAGTCGGTACGGGTCCTTCACGGTGGTTTGTGTAGTTCTGTAGAGTCTGGCCGATCTTCCGACAGGGAAGCAGTGGTGTCAAAGACATAACACAAGTAAAGGTAAGCCGAAACGGTGCAGGAAATGTTTAAAACAGAAATGAAAGAGAGAGAAGATAGTTTACACTCCCAGCAGTCGTGTTTCGCCTCTAAATGAGCTGAAGCCAACAGGCAGCTCCAGCTGCGTTCACTAGCTGCTGTGCAGCATTTAGCTTTAAAATGTTGCCTCTTATCTGCTACGTGACACGTTGTTTTAGTCTTATTTCAAACTCTACTTTTATAAATGACATGGCCTCTTGGTCCTGTCGTATTTATGACCCAGTTTGTTTCCCGTGACCATACATTTTCTGTCAGTCATTCTCAATGAGAAGAATCTAGGTGAAGGGTCACAACCGGCTTGGGGGGGGGGGTTGGGCAGGGTGACCGTCAGAAATATCCCACATTTACTCACTTAATAACTTTCAAATTCATGTTTATCGTGATGTGTAAAGAAATTACTTGTAGCACTTTAGGCAAATTATGAGCCAAGTTGTATTAAGGATCGGTGGGTTTGTAATGAGCTACTGTGTGAAAGCTAACGTGCTTCCAAAGGCAGTTTTCCTTTTATTGGAACAATTCAGGTAGTATTTCAAACTGAATAATAGTAAACAAACATATGTGCATTGTTATGAAGCCATTAAATGATAACGATTAAGGAGGAAAGGCTCTTTGGTTTGGTTCAGATGCTGAAGTCAGACTGTGAACACAAATGACCTTTTGCCCACAGAGGCAGATCTGGTTGTTATTTGACAGCCTTGTTGTGGCACTGTCAAAATTCCTCTAAACACAAATATTTAAAATAAAGATGATATATGAATAACTTTTTGGGATAATAAAAGTTATGAAACAGGTCGCTTACTGAATATGGGTGAATATGCTTTCAACTCTTTGAAAATGTTAGTTTGTTGCTTATGATCACTGCTCTCCTTTTGTCTGAAAAACTTAATGTTGGCTTTGCAGTAACGGTTTCTTTGCCTCCAGAACATAATGGCGTCCATGCTGCTGAACACAATGCGGAGCTGCTCTGTCAGCCCATCTTGGACGGCGCGCTTCGGTAGGTCGCCTCGTTCTTTTGAGATTTTTTGCCACGGAAGATAGTTATCTAAACCTCTCTGTGTCTCACAGGTGTGCGCTCTCTTAGTACCACAACACAGCTTCAGGCTCTGGGTAAGCTTTCATTATGCTTAGTCTAAAACACTTTCATCAAAGCCTGACCTAACTCTCATTGGCTAACAGCAGTTTAAGATAATGGTGGCTAGCTTGTGAATGGATCTGAAGTAAAAATAACTTCCTGTAGTAAAAGTTACCATTTGGAGCCGATCAGCCCATGATGGTGCCCATTTTCTCTCTTTCAGCTCAGACAAAGAGCAAGAAGACTCTGGCCCGCCCTGGAGTGAAGAACATCGTTCTGGTCGAAGGTGTCCGAACGCCTTTTCTGTTGTCTGGAACCACGTATGTTTTTGTAGCCTCCATCCAGTCGTGACGTTCACAAGAGAGCTGCTTTTCTGTTCAGCGGTTGAGCTGATATGGGATGTTTTCCTTTTTAAATGCAGGTACGCTGACCTGATGCCGCATGACCTGGCCCGAGCAGCCCTGCAGTAAGTGTGCTTAAACCTTGAACTGCTACCGGTTGGAGTTTGTCCCCTCTTTTAAAAAAAACATTTTCCACTGGGGTCTTACCAGGGGGCTCCTGAACAAGACAAGTGTGCCTAAAGATGCTGTGGACTACATCATATATGGAACGGTCATTCAGGAGGTCAAAACCAGCAACGTGGCTCGAGAAGTAGGTGCTGCACCCCCACCCTAACCAAAGGGGCTTTTTTATGTTCCTGAACATGCTAATGACTTGTTGGGAGGATGACCTCTTTTTGTTTTGTTTTTTTTTCTTTCAGGCAGCGTTGGGGGCAGGCTTCTCTGACAAGATCCCAGCTCACACCGTCACCATGGCCTGCATCTCCTCCAACCAGGCCATGACCACAGGTCTGCTCTCCACGCCGTGCCCTAAAGGCCCATTCCCCCCCCGCTGTGTGCTGCTGTTTGTGCTTCATCGGCCTCCCCTCTCCTCTCTTCAGGCGTGGGGATGATTGCTGCCGGCCAGTGTGACGCCGTTGTGGCCGGCGGGGTGGAGTTCATGTCCGACGTTCCCATCCGCCACAGCCGGAAGATGAGGAAGACCATGCTGTCCCTGAACAAGGCCAAAACGGTCGGCCAGAAGCTGGGTTTGATCGGCAGCATCCGGCTGGCTCACCTCTCCCCAGAGGTACCCGTCCCCCTAAGCTTTCCCGCGGAGTTCAGTGGGCCGATTTGTCCGCGTCCTGATGCACAGCCTCCCTCTCCCGTGTGCAGCTGCCCGCCGTGGCTGAGTTCTCCACAGCAGAGACCATGGGCCACAGCGCCGACCGGCTGGCCGCCGCCTTCGGGGTGACCAGGGTGGAGCAGGATGAGTTTGCTCTGCGCTCACACACTCTGGCCAAGAAGGCTCAGGACAGCGGGCTGCTGGAGGACGTCATTTCCTTTAAAGTGCCAGGTAATCTCCATCAATGCCCCCCCACCCGTGCTGTAGTCTTTTCTTCACTCCGCTCACCGGCGCTCTTCTCCTCCTCTCAGGCCGCGACATCGTATCCAAGGACAACGGGATACGGCCCTCGTCCATGGAGCAGATGGGCAAACTTAAGGCCGCCTTCGTCAAGCCTCACGGCACAGTCACAGCCGCCAACTCCTCTTTCCTGGTGAACGCGCTCTTCTCGCCTTTCAGCGAACCGGGGAGGGGATAAACAAAGCAAAATGCTCACAGATTACACCAGCAGCAGGGTTTTTTTTATTGGCCCAGCTTTGGGTTTTTTTTTTCATCATCTCAACCAGTTTGTGGACTTTACAGTCCTCAGATTATTGGATTGTTTCCTCTGATATTATCCCAGACTTCCCCACTGTAACTAAACGTATGTTCTGGCTTATGTCACCGGTCAGTACTGGTCTTTACATCACTTGCTTCTATTGAGTGCTGAATTTGTACCTTTATCCTCCTGAGAGCCATGCTTTTATTTGCTTTTTTCAAAGACATATGGGATTATTTGGACCTAATAAGTTTATTAACTATACATGGTACAGGTAGTTTTTCGTCATATGGGTACAGTGGGTTTATCTTTTATTCTTAAAGATGTTTGGTTTATATAGTTAATTAAATGTTTTGCAATTTGGTTCTGACGGTCTAAATAACTTATTTACAAAATTTCACAATAAGAACATGATTGGTTGAAAATGTGCAAAACCATTTGTTTGTGTCCTCAGACCGATGGTGCCTCTGCAGTGCTCATCATGTCTGAGGAGAAAGCTCTGGCCATGGGCTACAAGCCCAAAGCCTACCTCAGGTACCTGAACCCTAACTGAACATTGACCCAATTTAAGGCGGCGTGCTCATCCTCATGATGTTCTCCTCCCGGCAGAGACTTTGTGTACGTGTCCCAGGACCCCAAAGACCAGCTGCTTTTGGGGTGAGCCCCTCATTCTTACTCTCACAAATGTCCCAAAGAGTACAGTGTGGATGTGACCCTGCGTGTGAGGGAGAAGCGGTCGTGTGTGTGTAGTGTTTGTTGTTTTATAAAAAGCGTCTGGGTCTGGTCCGACTCTTTCAGGCCGACGTACGCCTCGCCCAAAGCGCTGGAGCGGGCCGGCCTGTCCATGAGCGACATCGACGTGTTTGAATTTCACGAGGCGTTTGCAGTAAGCGAAACGATCTGTTGCATCAGGACGGATCCATGTGGGTCTGGTTTCCATGGTAACTGTGTTTTTATACATCTTTAATTGTATGTTTTTTTTGTTTGTTTTTTCCCAGGGTCAGATAATGGCAAATCTTAAGGCTATGGATTCGGATTGGTTTGCCCAGACGTACATGGGAAGGAAATCCAAGGTAAAGGATGCCGTTAGTCATTTGTTAGAATAAATCAATGCAGCACACGTGGATCAATGAAGGATCCTGTAATAGAAGAGTCATATTGTGGACATTATGAGAGAAAAATACATGGTTTCCATTAGTTTGTCTCCAGCAAACACAACCCTTTGTCTCTAAACTTAGTTTTACTTCCCATTGTCAGACTGAAGGTTTTTCCCCAGAGGTTAGATTTAGCTTTGTGGGCGTAGCCATGTTTGTGTCTTTGAAATACTCTGCTTTGGCATCACACGCTCAGCCGCAGAGCCGATCGGTCCCAAAACCAGACGCAGTTGCACCACTAAGGCCTCAGCCCCAGAATTCAGTTCAGCTACGCAAGCAGTCACCTGATTAAGAAAAACAAAAACTCTCCTTTACGGTGTGCGCAGGTCGGAACACCTCCCATGGAGAAGTTCAACCTGTGGGGGGGCTCCCTGTCTCTGGGCCACCCGTTCGGGGCCACCGGCTGCAGGCTGGTGACCACAGTGGCCCACCGGCTGAAGGCGGAGGGGGGGCAGTATGGGCTGGTGGCGGCGTGCGCCGCCGGCGGACAGGTACGCCATCAATTTCCCACCCGGCGTAGAAAAGCACTCACAGGTGAACAAACCTGCTCAATGTTTCCCATTTCTCTGTTTCAGGGTCACGCCATGGTGATTGAGGCCTATCCCCATTAACAGGGACTCCTCAGTTAGATCTTTATCCAAATCATGACCGCTCCCCAACCGCTCACTAAGAATGCAGTGTACATACTAGCACCACTTTGCCTTGGTCCGACTGTGGATGGATCCAGTAAGTGCTGAAGGCCTTGAGGAGTCATGTGTAAATTAAACCTGGCTTGGAAGCTGCTGAATTATGCGGAATGTTGTTGAGGGATATTTGCTTTGTTTGCGGCCTTCTTGTCAGCATTTTCCTCTGAGTCTAATGTAACATAGCAAACACGAAGCGCTCGAAGGCGCCAACTGGTCCGAGAGTTTATATGTGCTGTAATATGTTTTTCTTACAAAAAAAAGTTGGAATTAAATTGAATAGTGATAAACACGGGCTTGTTTATGGGTCTGTTGTTTTCTTTTCTTTTTTGGGAACGTCTCTTAAACAACCCTCATTGCTTTAAACCCAATAGTTTTATTATGTCCTGACATGTAAAGCATTAGCTCTGAATGGTCCAATGGCAGTCGGTCCGGTTCTAACTGGGGCCCCCTCAGCCTGGCCTGGCCTTTTGGTGTAGATCTTGATTGTTGCATTTTTAGTAATAATATGAATACATATACATACAAATTTAGGGCTTATGCATCTTCAAACAATGTTGGTGGTTTATGTTTTATTAAGCAGGCGACCTATTGTCAGGGTAATGTTCAGTGTGTTGGAGCCTTCCTGTTTGAGGAGGGGTGGGGGGGTGTAGAGGCGACTGTTAGAAGTCTAAAAGAAAACACTAAACATGCTTCAAAATCTGCTTTGCCAAATTCTCTCTTTTTATTTATTTTTTCGGGCGCCTGCATCCAGTCCCCATACCAGGAAGTGTCAGCGGTACAGCAGCTCGCGCTTAATTGATGTTGAACAACGCTGTCTGCCTCTGACGAGGCGACTGATGTTAATGAGGAGGTAAAGAGGAGTGTTCCGGGCTTCCTGGTGATTTTAAAACGACATGAATATGGAAAACCGGGAGTGTGACTGGCAGACGACTTGAAAGGGCCGGGTTTCGTCGGTGTCATCCCGGTGTCGGAGCGCTCCTGCCGCGGAAAAGCCCAACTTTTTTACGCCCGCTAAAAGGTTGCTTTAATTGACGGCGGATGGGTAAATTTCTATCAACACATCGCCTCTTTCCTGCTTTGGTGTGTGCCATCCCCTCAGCGCTCGCTGGGGAATCTCTGCTCCACACACACACAGAAACACACACAGACACACACCTCTCAGGTCGGCGGGCTTGTTAACACAACTTCAGTCAGACACCTCCGTTTAAAATGTATTTAAAGATTTAATTCTTCCAGTTTAAGAAATCCTTGACTCGGTTTGCGGGAGAGGGGAAGGGGGTGTGGGGGGGCTTATTAATGCAGCCCGACCTGTCACGCGGGCTTGCGGGCGGAGGGAATAAAAAAAAACAACAATGTTTTACAGCCGAGGCAAAACGCAGCTCAAATGTAAATAGCGGGGAGATAGACAGAGAGAGTTTTGTGTTTATAGAGCTTCAAACCCGCCTCAACCCTGCGAGACACCGGAGACACGCAGACACTCACCGACACGGCGCGCGCCTCCCGCCTCAGCGGGGCTTTGATCAGCCGGAACCTTTTATGGGGAATGACTAGCGGAGGCACCCGCTGCTGTCACTACAAATCTACCTCAGCGAGCGCGCGGGGAGGGGAGGAGAGGAGGAGAGGAAGGGGGGGTGAGGGAGGGAGGGAGGGAGCCGGGGAGAGACTCGGGAGTGCAGCGGGGTCTTTCATCTCGTCCTCGCCGGCTCACGCGGGGCGGCACCCGCTGAAAGCTGCGCTCCGCTCGCGCCTCCTCCACCCACTGCCGGCTCCCCGCGTGCGCGCGCGCGCGCGTCAAATTGTTGGGGAAACTGCACCGTAGTCTTCCAGAGGATGCCTGACTGTACTACAGCAGCCTGGATTTGTTTTTTTTTGTTTTTTTTAACTCTTTTTAGTTGTGCATTAAAAAAAAATACGTGAATATTCAATTTCAGTAGCCACCTCTCATTTCTGTAACACAAGAAATAAAATAATTGGGTGTATTATGTAAACAGACATTGGCTAAATGTATATAAATACTGTAGTTTTCTCTTCTCCAAACTGGCCAAATACACAGACAAGAGTATTTAGGATTTCCTGCTGCAGAATTCAGGTATCGCTCTTCTTTGGAGGTGGGCCTCCTCTTGCTCAGTTCTCTGTGGATGATCCCACGTCGCCTCAGTAAAGTTGAGGTCTGGGCTCTGGGGAGGATTCATCCCTCCATCAGACCTGTTGCCGCTGGCTTGTTGACTGGCAAACTTTAATCAAGACCATTTCTTAAATGGCACTTTGGGAAGCGCCTTTCAGCTGGATGAGTATCTTTTCATGCCACCAAACTGAGTTATCTTCTGCATTTTGTCAGTAATGACATCAAATGCAATTCATAACAGGTTCTTTAGCTGTCTTGTTAAGTTTAGACACAACACCGAGTTATCTTTTTGTACTTAAGATAGTGTTCAGTGGCTTGAGAAGCATTTACTCGTGCATGTATTTGAGCCGGTGGCTCTCATTCCAGCAGGCTTTTACATCCTGTAAAGGAGCTGTAATGACTTCAAGGCAAATCCTTTCAGTTAGATACTGTACTCTGCATTTTTACAGCACCTCGTCTGAAGTGCTTCACGTTTTCTCTCGTTCACTGAATCACACACGTACCCGCTCCTCATATACATACTGTAAAAAATACTCATTGTCTCGCCCAAGGACATCTTCCCTGCCGACTTTCCAGTTGGAGAGCAGCTCTACATTTCAAAATGTTTGGGATTCAGTGGGTGGTTTCAGGTGTTCTCCTTCTAGTGTTGTTTGAAATTCAAACAAAACTACCTGGTGCAGCGTGGTGATGACTACCTGTCCAAGCTTTAGGGGGCGGACACAGCCTACCTAACCATTCTTTTACCTGAATGATGGAAATATGCAAGGAACTCATGTCTTTATCTGCCGTTTGGTGGTTGTTTTCAGCTAAGCATGAGACTAGATGTTAATTTTCTGTATTTAACCTCAGTGTTTGACAAAAAAACAACTTCCTGTTGCTAAACATGATGCATAGTAGTAGGCATCTTAGGGGGACATTTCCTGACAACCAGAAAATCTGTCACTGACCGAAGCTGAATTGGATTCTTGCTAACTGATCCTCGAGTAACTCTGACTACATACATTTTTCAGGCTGTGAACAACTCAGAATGAACCTTAACTGATATCCACTAATAATTCAGGCAATAAGCCATTAAAATGTTTTCTGTAAATTACGTCAGTGCAAAAAGAAGACACATTTTCGTTGCACATGAAGAAGCGAACCTGCTTTATTCCAAAACGACCTCTAACCCTTTTAAAAAACAGAAGAATCATTCTCAAAGCGCGGGGCTACATTGTGTTCTCTCTGCCTGCCTCGTTTGGCCGCGTCTCCTGATACGCTGGGCTTCAGTTTCTGCAAAGATCCAACCCCGGCTTTCATTGGCAGTTTGACGGACAACACAAACACACCCTTTTCCTGCCCTGCACAGATTGCTCTGTTCATCCCTGCAGGTACGTCTCCAACCCTTCA